TTACAAAGTCACAATTATGGTGCCTATCATCAAAGTTACATAACATAATATCTTGAAATCGATTGAATTTATGTTTTACACTTAGATTACGTACCTTACAAGGTGATTTTTTTTAAAAACTTAAAATAGAAATATTTGCTCATTATTTCAACAACTTTAAATTAAATGTAGTTATCTTTATCTTGTCTAGGTGAAGTGTAGGTCTTAAGTAGGTCTTACTAGATCCTTAAAGTTCACCATAATATGTAACACTTTTTATTCATTCTGGTTGATTTTTATCATGGTTTTTTTCCTGGCTATTTAAAATAGTTACAAGCAAACAATTATTATCCCTTGTAATACTTGCTTTATTATTTTTTTAACTTTTCTTTTTACAGTAGATACTTGGTACAAATGGTACGCCTATATACATATGCCTATAGTACATATAATATAATAATAATACAATAGATTATAACCACATTATGCGGGTTTCATTCTATTTATCGTTTGTTTGTTTTATACCGTACATTTCTATACAGAATACAGATGGCCAACGGATAACACCGTCTATTATTTTTTAGAATATGACACGTGATGTGTTATACGCGTATTTGTATTACATGTATATAATATATAAATTTATGCTTGTCTCGTCATTTGGTGTAAATGATGTTATTTATTTTATAACGTTCATCCGTCAAAACAAAAACTGTAAATAATACGCCTAAAAATATATCTATATACTTATTTACATTCTACAGTATCCTAATTATTTCGTCTTTGAATTATAAATTATAATAATTCGTACTTGACACGATATTTTATCATATACATGACCGTACCTAAAGGGGTTTTGGAGGTTCAATCCCTCCTCCTCGAAAATTTTTCCTGTTATGTTGTGGAAGAATAATTCTGTCGGCTAATAAAATCAGAATACAAGACATATTTAGTTTATAATCTCTCCACCCCGAAATTATTTCTCAGTTACGGCCTTGCTTATGTATACAATATGTATGTATAATATATTATAATATTGTGTATACAGTTTTAATTGAAATTCTGTCTGTATGTCCGCTACACAAATCTACTGCAGTTTTATACTCATATTGATGAAACTTTGCATATTTGACATTTAAAACAAGAGGAAGATCTTCTATCACTATCTAGGAAGATCACTATCTACTTTTAATCTCGAAATAAAATTCAGAAAAGGTAAAAATATCAGAATGATTTTTAGTATTTTTGGAACGAAAATGTAATTATTTTCGTTTATTTATGGGTAACTTTGACGACACAGATGAAAAAACTGTTATTTTAATTTTTAATTTTGGTTTTCACAGACAAGGAAATAACCTTATAAAAGATAAATAATTACCTACGATTAACTGTGAAGGCGGTTACCGTTTCTGACAAAATGAAAACGAAGATTTTATTTTGCCAAAATTTTTTTCAGTGGCCAATGGCCAAACCACCATGAAGAGGCGGTTCTCATTGGTACCCCCTCAAAATTGTTTAAATTTTATCTTTTTATTATTAAATATATACAAGATTTTGGGTTTATCCATACATCGAAAGAAATTTTTTGTAAAGTTTTATAAAATGAGATGTTTCTTTACTTCTTCTACCAAGTTTTCGTTAGTTTTTGTTCGTTCATCTTTTTATTTTTCTTAATAGAAGAAAATTAGAAAAAATAAGATTTTAAAAATGCACACAATTCGATGGGAGTACGCAATTCGGAAGTTACTCGATAGTTGAATAACTTGGAACTGATCACTGACGCGTTAGTAACTAATTAATAATCAGTAGCGCCGTGTGTTATTTTACATTTAATAACATACGTTGTGACTCAAAGCGGACTGGTTAGTGATTTGCGTCAGTAATTAGTTTCTAATGAATAGCTCTGTGTGTAGACAGCCTAAATATTTCAATGTGATAAATTTATCCCGAATCTCGATATTTACCGATAGTACCTATTAGTTATTGGTAGACTAATCATCACACTATAAGGACGAGTGTCCCACTGTTGTAGGTGGGAAGTCGGAGAAATAGGATACATAAAATTATTTAATTTATACCTGTAAGCAACGATAAACCATTACTACCTAACGAAAAACGATTCAAAGCGAAATTCGTTTATACATGATTTGAAAGACAGTAATATTTACCGTTTTTGTTAAAATTTGATTTTAAAACTCTTATACAGAAAAAAAAAATACTACATTAATAACATTCATATATTTTTCACCACTAAGTACCTTCTACTTATAATTAACCTCTTGTCAAATTTTCAAGCATTTCTATTTGATCTAACAATTTTATATTCGAGCAATATAAATATAGTATAACGTATTTTAGGTCGCTTTACCTAAACGGTCTACGTCCAAAAACATAAGCCGTAAAAATGTAAAATAAAATAATTCCAATGCCTTAAATTTAACAGTTTTTAGTTTTCGTCGTTTTCATCGACTATTATAAAAACTACTTGGAAAATTAAAAAAAAACCAATTACTTAATCACCAACTAGATTATAAATGCAACAAAAAAGGTCTTTTGTTGATTTTCGCTGGGTTTCGTGATACTACCAGATACCTATTTGCGCGTTGGCTACACGTGTAGTCGTCTAATAGGATGTGGGTGAGTCGTAAGTAGGTACCGGTCATTTAATCCAATGTAAAAAAATATTTATTAAATTATACTTCTCGTTTCGTGTAACAATTCAAATCCATTAGCGCAGGTACCTACCTATACAGTTTTCATAATAGGTATTTCTACCTTACTACCTAAGCAGGTATCTATTATACTTGTATATTCAATTTCATCAAACGATTATAATAGTATATAGTACACTAATGTCGATAATAAATTAAATCTAATAAGAATAGTGTATTTCTACATTTACCTACAAACACGCTATAATATATAGTATCTATACTTAATTATTGTAAGTTAATTTATGCTATAAATGCGTATAATACTAACCAGTGGCAGAATTTCAACATTTTCTGGGCGGGCTCCTTAATAATCAGAAGTACTTATTTCAAAAAGTCTATATAGATATTATATGGACATATTTTTTGTCAAAAACATCTGTACAAAAAAAAACATATTATACGACTGTTAACTATTACAGACACTTACAACTTATAAGTGTGTAGTTAAAGGTAAATACCTTTATTTATACTATCTATGAAGAATAAAATGTACTATAAAAAATAAAATATGCTTTTTTTTATACAGTTTTCTGAAAAGTATAACTTAGTGTTCCTTCAGTCAAGTCTCTGGAACCGCCCATGGATGTGTGTGTAACGCGATATTCTGTAGTCTGCCGTTATATTCGGTACCTAACGCAGTAATTGAAATTGTTTCAAAACACAAGCAAGAGATAACAGATCTTTCATATTTAATATTAGCTCTTGTTGGGTTCCATCACTGGATGGCCTCCCTCTTCAAATTATTCAAGTTAAACATGTACATAAATTATCAAATTTAATTATTGTGATGTTAAACACAGATTGTAAATATCTTAATAATAAAAAAAAAAAAAAAAATATTAGCTGAACTATGAGATAATCTAATTTATTTTAGATTCTGAGTGGAGCGAGGAATGTATTGATTTTACAATGATGTTTATTATTTTTTATTTTCATTTATGAACAACATTTTTACCAGCAATTTTGTTCCGATTTTCAATTATAGCACCTTTTCTGAAAGGAAATCTGACTGGAGTGGTAAAAAGATAATTTTTTGATTTTCTCAGCTATTTTTTTAATAAATAGGAGAAACAGGAAAATAGGTACAATACTAAACAAATATTATTAAAGAAAATATGTAAGTAATGCATATTTAATTATTTTGCCATAATACGACATATATAATATATTGTTGACAAAGCAACACTATTAACCGAACTCTGCTCAGAATCGTTTTTCGTTAGCAATGGTTAATCGTTGCGTACAGATATACATTAAATTTCTCCTCTACTTTCCTAACTTATCACCTACAACAGTGGGGGATGGTAAACTCCTACAAAAGTAGGTAATCTCATCATTGAAATAGTGTTATCTAAAAGATAGTGTTAACTTTTACACTAGATAGTTGTAAAGTTGTAAAAAATAAAATAAGGTATTTTGAAATAAGAAATAGAAATTGTTGAATTTCCAATTTAGGGAAATAACGTAATCGTTATCGAAATGTTCGAGAATTTCCGATACGATGCCTTATATTAATATGTTTACTAAATTTTATTTTCCATTCGTAAGTAAATGAACATTCATCCAAAATGCAACGAAAAATGTCTAGTCACTTTTTCATTAGACCATTTCTGGTGTAAAACGTCGTGCGTGTTTATTAAAAACAATGAAATAGTAAAATCGTACGTTTTTCCCCGCTTATCTTAAATTAACGTTATTTTAAAACCAATATACATTCCTCGCTACAACCAGAATATAAAATGTAAAAGGGTCTGTGTAGGAGATTAAACCATCTAATTTTGTTAGGTAAAAAGAGACTATGTAATAGTTGACACCATGTTTAGTTTAGGGACACGGTTTTATCAACGAGATCGCCGCGTCCAAAACGCCTGTACCCGAATACCGCGTACCTACGCAACAATTTATAATAACAAACACGTTCGTTTCCTAGACAATTGGGGCAGGTTTTCGGGGACGCCGGTCGTCGCGTCCCACCATCCCGGTACCGTGGAGCGTGCGTGCGTGCATGGGTGCAGCTGTCCCGATTTCGGGACGGCAACAACAATAATAACAACAAAACGGCAGCGGCGAACGGTGCTGATGGTGCGCATAATAATAATGACGTACAATAACAGTGCATTATTATTATTGTTACGTACATCGGTGCGGCGGCGGGTGGAGCATTAGCAGCTGCTGCTGGTGTACGACGTTTTCCCGCGTTTTCTCCTCGACCCACAACAATCAGCCGGCCGCGTACCGTTGGCTACACTGCGGCGTCGCAGTGTTTCTATAGCCCATTCTGACCGATCCGACCAATCTAGCGCCGGGCATTCCGTGAATTTTTCCGCGCTCTCGTCATGTAACTCGTGTGATTGCCGCCGGTGACTCATGTGCGTAGTGATTTCGTCCGGGCCTTTATCATCGCCGTCCGTTCATGTTATAATTCACTATATTATCATACTGCCATACCGTGTGCCGTCGGTCGTTTATCGTCCGATTTCACTTCTATGGTTTTTTTTTTTTTGATTCGCCGCCAGCTTATACTCCGTCCATAATTCGGCTGCTGGCCGCTCTCTTGTCTACATAATCGATTCCGCGTACACAAGTGTTCGATCGAATCCGCCACATCGACTGCTAGCAATCGTGATCGATTTTTCACGTCGTCTAACTCAGCTACACTCCGACAAAAATGATACTGAAAAATGAGATTTGTAAGTATATAACGCGAACACCAACGTATAATAATAATGATAACGAGTATTATAAGTACCGTTGTACTTATCCGACGAGCACCTAGGTATAGGTGTAGTCGAAATTCGGATTAATTTTATTCTCGAGGCCGAATTTCGAAACACAGAAAATCAACCACATTAATTAACATACCTACCTAACTACCACCTATATTTGTTACAATCATTATTCTCTCTGAATATTTTTTTATACGTCCCTGGACCCCGATCTTGAATATTGCTAATATTGGTAGGTATTACCTGCTGGTAGGCAGGATTATTGGAGACAACAAACTGTCTCATTTTTATGGCTTATGTTTTTGGTTTGATAATATCTAGGCATTTTTTCCCCGTATTCATTTTTATGAATTATTAAACAATAGTGCTTCGGCCTGTACTAAATAATTAAATACAAATAAGAAAATTCAAAATAGGTAGCTACTTGCCTACAAAATTGTAATAATTTTTTTCAATCAAGTCTTATTTATATTTTGAAACCTTATTACTTACTCTGAAAATCTTCCTAATCGGTGCTAACTATCAATAATCAGGTTTATCTACATAATAAAAGTTTTACAAATACACACATTAGAATTTTGTCGCAATAGATCAAATTTAAATTTTTTATATTATGCAATATTAAATGGATCACACTATAACATCTCCTTTCTGCCATAGGTAACTCATTCAGTTGATTATAGAAATCATTCCCAATGTTATTTATCTTGTCGTAAGACATGGGCATTTATATTACTGGTATTTTATTTTTTTTTGTACCTACTTTTAAGCTTTTGATAGTTTTATCTAAAAGTATACACATTTTTTGCATGGATTTTACCTGAGTTTTGTGTAGATTCAACACCTACATCAATATATGATAGGTAATTTATGAGGTATGACTGTACTTTGAAAAGTAGATTCAAGTATATTCTTTATCAAAAAATGTACATTTTTTTTTTTGAAAACGAACAGCTAGGTGCCTATTTAATCTTAAAATAACAGATTACAATAAAACAATACTTAGTTAGGTACATGGTACTTTGGCGATTAAGAAGGTTTTACAGATTTAGATAAAAATGTAGTAGGTATATGCATTTCTGTATGTATATGTACCTACCTATATTTTTATCTAAATCTGTAAAATTTCCAATGTTATATTAATTATAATAAGACTTAAAATACCTACATAATTATATATTCTGTACCATAAATGATAGCTTAATTTCATTTGTAGTTATGGAGTTCCCAGATAGTAATTATTTATTATAAATATTATCTGCCAATATCTTTCATTTAATTTGGATAGGTACTATAAATTTGAATAGTCATACAAATTCAATTACTTTGATAATTTACATACCTACCTATCGAAATATAAAAAAAATGTTGCATATACTTTTTAATTGTATTCCAACCTAGAAAACCATCTATCAGTAAAATATTTGATTTTCATGGACTCTTGGATTTTTTTTATATTTTGTTATGAATTTATAAATTTGGTTTTAATAGGGTTGTTCTTGAAAAAAATATGAATATGTAATTGTTTTATTGGTTTGTAATTAATATCAAATTTTTAATAGTATCTACACATTTAATATAATTTTCACAATGCAATCATTAAATTAATCTACTAAATAACAGAATATGACAAAAATAGATGGAATTACCTATCTACATAATGTTGTATTCGATAATTCATTCCTCACATGTACACGTATACAAATATAATTGATATAAAACCAAAAATCATAATTTTACAAATAGTAATAGGTAAAAATCTATGATTTCATAATGAAATAATATATTAAAAAATGTATGGTTATCCGTACAAATCATGAACATTTGACCGATGTAGGTTTTTCGATATTTTGACATTTTTTTCTCAGACCAATAAAACCACACGTCAACCTAAAAATATGTTAAACAAAATATTGTAGTAAATAATGTGATAAATAATTTTATGCACAACTAAAATTATGTTTTTCGTATTTTTTTTCAGGTCTTGCATAAATCAGCATATTAAAATGTTCAATTTGTATGTTAACAAATTGTATTTGAGTAAAATTGAAATTTCATTAATCAAGCATGGACTGTGTGGATGTGCATCGTGTTTCACCAGTTTCATTATTGCCTAGACGTTTAAATTTCAACGACTCCGGTGAAGCTTCGCCAGCTGTTATTTCTACTGACCAAAATGAATCACCCAAAACTCCACCTAATTATGTACCTTATAAAGCACCCTTGACACCTGTTTCCCGAAAATGTAGACCTACTATTCCTTTAAGATTTGCTGAACATTTGGCTTCACCTATAAAATCAAATTCACCACAGAAAGAAGAATTATGTTATTCTCCTCCTATAAAGCGGATTCGTCTGCTTAAACTTGAAGAAGGTTTACTAGGTCGATCCCAACCCGCTAAAAAATGTGCCAAGCCACAAGAAAATATGATAAATGTATGTCAATCATTTAATGATGAAACTAAATTATTCAAAACAAACAAATTTAGCATAAATCCATTTTCTCCTGTAGCAACAGACTTACGATCAAAATGGATGAGCAACTACAGTAACAACAATAATAACAATAACGAAATTTCAAAATCAGATAACTGGTCTAAAGATTTAACAAATGTGGAGCTTTCTGATCTCAATGTAACTAGGTATTTTAAAGAATTCAAAGTAGAAGATCTGATTGGCAAGGGAGATTTTGGCGAAGTATATAAGTGTATTAATATGTTAGAAGGAATTCCATATGCTATTAAAAAGACACTTAAAAAAGTTGTTGGAACTAAGCGTGAAAATTATGCTCGTAAAGAAGTCTATGCCAATGCTGCTTTATTTAGTCATCCGAATATAGTTGCTTATCACTCTGCATGGAATGAAAGTAATTCAGTTTTCATACAATTAGAATATTGTGATGGCGGCAATTTAGATGAAATGATATTTTCAAAACGCCATAATTTCAGTGATGCTAGTATTGAGCGTTTATTATCTCATCTATCTAGTGGCCTCCATTATATGCACACATCTAAAATAGTTCACTTGGACATAAAACCTGCAAATATCATGATTAGTCATTCTACATATGTGAAAGAAGATATAGATAAAGTTGACAAAGACATTATTTACAAAATAGGTGATCTTGGTCATGTAGCGCATGTTGACAATTTAAGTGATGTGGAAGACGGTGATGGTCGATATTTACCAAAAGAAATGCTAAGTGGAAAATACGATAGCTCAACAATTATGAAAGTCGATATATTTTCATTAGGAATGACAGCGTACGAAGCAGTTTCAGGTTTAAGATTACCAAGTGATGGGCCAGAATGGCATTTTTTAAGAGATGGATTTGTACCAGATATTGATGGTTTTCGATTAAGTATACTTTTATCTACTATGATTGATCCAAATCCTCTTAATCGACCAAATGCTATTGATGTATATAAAAATGTTACGCCAAAAGTATCAGAACTAAATGAACTCTGTACTTTGCAATTCAAAAGAGAATACTTAGACAGTTGTACGAAAACACGAGCAACACAATCTTCACCAACTAACAGAATGAACACTACTACTTCTAAGAGAACCCCAATTGCTTTAAGCACATGGCATAAAAGGCGTCTAGTTGGGCAAAAATCTCAACGTTACTATTCATTTTGAAAGTACAATTATTGAACTTACCTTACTCTGTTTTTCCTTTGTGTAAATTGTAACTTGAACTCTGTGATGATAATTATAGTTTTTTTTTTTTTTTTTTTTATGTAAAGGGTCTCAAATAATTTTTATAAAAAAGAAAGTCTGTGAATTTTTTTATTGTATACGTTTTACGAAAAATGTGATTTTTCTTAGTTACACTAATTACAAGTTATAACATTAGTTGTTAGTAGCATGATAATTATTCTTCATCACAGCATTCTTTATTACTATAATTTAAGTTCTATTATTTTTATATATTGTGCATACAAAAAGAAATGTTCAAATTATCATACTGCTGCTAAAATTAATTTCGACCTGCAATAATTATTTAATTACTAACTCCATTATTCAAAATAAAATTGTTTTACAATTCAAGAACAAGAATGAATTAAATATGTTTTTTTATCGGGTCATCTATTATTTGAAAAGAGACTTCGTGTTATTTGTATTTTTTACTAAACTTTAAATTAATAATATGGTAAATCTTAGTTAACTTAATAAATATTACAACATTCATTTTTAATACGTTATATTTTAATATTAAAGAATTAAAATTTAACGTCCATGTTATGTTGTATTGTGCTATATATAAATATATATATATATATTTATATATATTTGTTTTAAACTAATTAATTGACAATTTTAATTGCTGGTCGAAATCATTTTTAACATATAATTTGTTTTTGGTATTACTATTTTATTGATTTTTGTTCATTAAAACTGTAATTTTATTATTATTTAACTAATTAATAAATTGAATAATAAAGTTATCAAACAAGAATCTTTCCTGTATTGGTATAATTTTTAAATGAAATAATTTTCAATTTATGTTCATTTGTATATCAATATTATCCTTTTACTAAACAAACTTACAGAGTATTAGAATTAAATATTTAATTTGTATTTTAAGTTTTACCATAATACCATGTTATTTTTTTTAACTCAAATGCAAATGTTAATACTAGGGTAAATATTTTAAAAATAATATCTTGTACTCTATTATTGTTATTATCTAACAACAATCGTTTTAATGCGTTTAAGTTTATGTTACATTGTCTGTTTATTAAACATTATAATTTATTAGTTGAATGAAGTTATTGATATGTTGAAGATGTTCTCATGTTCTTTTTTAATTATAAGCTATTTTTGTGTAACAATACATTTTGTTATTATATTAAAAATAAAGTTAAATATGATAAAGAAAAAAAAATGGTATTATTTTAATTTGGAGATTTTTAAGCCATAATTTAAAAAGATTTGTAATTTACTACGAACCTAATACAATAAAAAAGGTTATAGTAAAAGGTTAAATTATAATATTACTTTACATACCAATTTTTCATATGCAAAAGAAAAATGAAAAGGTATTATTATTTATTAGAATACAGGGTGATCAACATAATGTAAGACAGTCATTATCTCTGAAAGTATTAACTTTTTTGTTATTTGTTTTATAGAACATTTAAGATGTAGGCAGCTCTTCAATTTTACATTTATGTTATTTTTGGCTGTGGATTCACTTACTGTTAGTTTTCAAATGGCAACCAATATTATAAATTTTGTAATTAGACTACTTAGTATATAATTATTTAATTTAAAAGTATTTTGAAGCTAAAGTTGTTGATTTACATTGACCCATTGACGATATATTTCACTTTCAAGTTTAGGTAGGAGAGTAGAAGAAAATAAGGATTCCCAATAAAAAAAAGAATATATTAATCGCATTTTACATTTTGACTGTGACATACTTGATAATGAATTTTTAATTCAAAACTGTTCGTATAATACACTTATCATAATACTCCAGGCAACGCATTCAATCATTTATTTCTTTTTTTTTATACATTTATTTACGAGTACTAACATTTCAATGATTTTGTTTTTGCTTTATTTTATTATATATTAATTATTGTAAAAATGTAGTGGTGCTTATATCTTAAAAGGTCTTTAAGTAATTTTAAAAAAAAGTTATAGTAAAAGTTTAATGAGATAATTAGTATCTTGTTATGTAAATCACCCTATTTAAAGTAATGATTTAAAAAAAAAAAAAAATTGGTGAACCAATCGATATTATTATTTTTAAGCTTAAAATAATTTAAATGGTTTTCATTGCCACTAATAAATAATATCAATTCATTCACAATGTCTATGAAAAATAAATCTGTTTATAATTTTGGTAAACTTCAAACAATTTTAGGAACTAATTCATCATTAGTAGGGTTTGGAACTTATTGCACTTAAAATTCACAATAAAGCATTGAAAAAAAGCACTTCAAGCAAATATTATTAAACCAAATGGTAGAAGGGTTTAAATATCCTCCCTCTAACAGCTTTAACTTATAAAATACAATGTTTTAATGCTATATAAATTATTAACCAGTTATTTTTTTATAATACGTACAGTTTTTTTTAAACAAAATACATTTTTGGTAATAATTTTTATTGTGTTAGAAAATTATACTTAATAACTTAACTAGTTTGACAGGGAACATTTGAACCCTTCTGCCATTTGCTCTAATATTTTCTTGAAGTGCTTTATTTCAAGGCTTTTTTGATGTTTTAAGTGCTTTTTTGTAAATTTTAAGTTTAAAAAGTCCCGAATCCTAATCATTAGTAATTATTTGTAATACCAAAATTTTGTTTCAAAATATTTATAAAATTGAAATCTTGGTTTTATTAAGAACAATATGAATTTTTAGTTTTCAAAAAAATATATATAATAGAGTAATAGCATATAGCCAAGGGCTTAACTAATTAAAAAAAAAATATACTGAACATCCCCAACGTATTTGTCAAATCTTCGCGGGACACTATAGGTTAATAATGAATATAATATGTAGACAAATTAAATATTATCTTGTTTAAGCCAATAAGTGAGTTTGACATGGCATTTATAATATAAATAAGAATACATTCTAAAAAATTACCATTTATAACAAAAAAACATTTTTTTAATAATTTATTTAAATGTTCTATACTATAACAATATTAATAATACATCAATTTTCTTATTATTTAGCTTATTCATTTGGAATTGTAGGTTTGTAATATTCTTTAACATCTGTTGGTAAAGACTTAATTTCACATGTCCCAAGTTCGGTTAATAATTGATTTTTTTCATAGAAATACTGCCTAAACCAATTGATATGATCTTTTTTTTCTTTAACAGACAAGAAAGGATTTTTTGATAAGCCAGTACACACTAATTCCATGAAATGTCTAATTGGTCCTTTTGTTGGGCACCATTCATCAATTAATGGTTCCAAAAACACATGTTCTGTAAAAAACACAGTTTTTTCATCATCCATTCCTAGTTCATTATCAATAGGGAATTTCCATAATTTCCCTTGTTCTGTCCAAATAATCATTTGCTCGTAAATATTTTTAGGTGGATGTGTAGCAGCCATTTTTAAACTCTTGTTATACAATCTATCCCAAGTAGGTAATGATGGGTAATCTTTATCTGGCTTAATGTCTGTAAAGATACCTAGTGGTTTACTGCTAAATAATTGTGTAGGCACATAATTATCAATTATTTTATTATAACTTATTACTTTTTGCTTAATATCTGTACTTTTGCCAATCAATTCCCTTACACGTTCAGCTCTATTCATATCTTTATAACCAGAATTATTGACTTTTGGTTGACTACGATCAATCTTCATTCCAGAAAGAAGATCATCTAATTGAACGGAAGATGTCAACTTTTTTTCAGACAAATTATTAGGTTCACATTCACTGTTATAAATCCTTAACAAATTCAACAATTCAGATTCAGTTTTCTTTACATCACCACCAATTGATTCAGCAACCGAAGTAGCTGCATGGGCCAATTTTACACCCAAATTTTTTTTCTGTTCTAACTCATTAATTTTCTGTTTATTTTGTGCTGCTTTTTTAGACAATTGTCTCGGTTTTGCTAGTTCAATATTTGGTATTTCAGTCTCATCACCTTTTTTCATAGTTTTCAACAACTCATTTAGTTTATCAATGGCTTCATGTTTTTTTGAGGTTGAATTTGTATTATTATTGTTATTGTCATCATCGGGTGGCAAACTGTTGGATTTGAAACGCCGAGTTAGACAATAAATGCCACGAATTACTATCCTCTTCGAATTATTAATGTAAGGTATGCACTTGAAGGACAAAGAAGAATTCATATCAAACCAGTATTAGAAGACTCACTTTATATGAATTATTTCTGAAAAAAAAAACAATACAAATTATGCGACTGATTCATAAGTTAGTGACATGTTAGTACTTAGTAATTATTAATGATATTGGATAAGTAGAATAAAAAAGTATAGTAAACTTACTTATCTTTCCGAAAATATTTTAAAATTCAAATAATAAATTCACGGTTAACGCACAAGAACAAGGAAGATTTTTGAGTTTGGAAAAAAAAAAATCATAATTTATGTTATATTATACGTCTGTGGTCCATGTGTTCCATAGAGTAATATGTTGCCCCATGATAACAGAAGAGTAAGTATTCATGGAATAAACAAAATCATCATTAATCCGGCATCAATATAAAGAAAATAATATAATATATAAGAAAAATATATTAATCCACCTTGGTAAACCTATTAGTAAATTATTATATCCGTATACTATATGCAATATTAGTAATATAATATATTATTATATTCTTTATCTCGATGGATTGTGGTTTTATATAGAACGGTTACCATAGATTATTTGTTATCTATACAATTAACACAGATATCTTTTTATGTATAATATAGATATCTGTGACAAATAACCACACGACCGTCATCCCCGGTCTGGACGTAATATTTATTGTAGGATAACTATAATACACATAAATTAACCGAGAGAAAAAAGTCACAAAGACACATGACAACCATGCATGATTCTGCAAAAGCAGTTTTTCTATTGTAACAAAAGCCATAATATACATTTTGAGGGTAATAGTACGAATAATATCAATAAGAATATAGATAACAACACTACTACTATTTTAATTATTACTAGTGATGGGAATAATCGAATGATTTCGATAATCGAGAGAGTAGTAATCGAGTAATTCACTCGATTAAAATAATCGAGATATTATGAACTAATAAATAATAATCAATCAGTAATCAACTTATTAATAGAAACTCGTAGTAATATTTGTAATTGAAATAACACAACACAAACACTTATTAATAGTTATTATTATAAACTATAATATAAAAACAAAATACTTTTTAAAATAAAACAATTGACGATTCATTGTATTAAGCTTATAACAGTTATGAATTATAACAAACTGTTCAAAACTTAAAAATGAAAATAATAATTAAAACTTTGATTGAAAATAAATATTACACTATATTTAAGTTACTATTTAAAAATATAATATAGTCTAAATATTTTGGTGACGGCTTATTTCGACGATTATTTGTTATCATATAAAATATAAATTAGTCCCATCATTCAAATAGTTATTAATATCTGTAGTGTAGTGTTGTGGTGAATGTATAAAATAATTATACACCCAACATACTTATAAATAAATTACTATAACACAGTGAAAATGACCAAAATTTCCAGAACAGATAAGAGTATTTACTATGAAACTATTTCAGTTTTATACTTTTATAATTATTTGAAATTTATATATGTTTTGAGATAATATAGTCCGTATTTGAGATTACTAGATTAGTTACTTATTACAGTTTGAGTAACTACTAACAAAATTAGTAATTACTAATTTTTCATTTGATTTTTTTCAGTTGGTTCCGATAATCGAGACCCAGCAAATCATTCGATTATTTTTCCTAACAATCGAGTTACTCGATTATTTTCACTCGATTGTTCCCATCACTAATTATTACTAGTATTAAATATTTAGGTGATGCAAAATATTAAAAGCTGACATAGTATCAAATGTTACTTTTCTAAATTTAGTGTAGGTACTAAATAATATTTTATGTTTAATAATTGTATTTTATTGTGCTGTTAATAGCAAAAAATGACCGAAAGTAAGAAAGAAATGTTAAAGTGGAAAAAACATGAAATCGAAAAAGACCTAGGAAATGATCAATGTAAGTATCTAATAACTCATTTACATTGAATATTATAATGTAAAATGTTAATAGACTAATAATAACAGTTTTACATTATTTTATAGATAGAAACAATCAATTATGGGCAGGAAATTTCTATTTTATAATTGGTGCTGATAGTCAATTCGGTTATATTTGGCCATATAAAAAAAGAAATCCTTTAGACTAGAATTTAGAAATGGAAAAATCCATTATTGCAATTGAAAAAATTAATAATTTAAATCCAAGATCTCAATTTTTGGTGATTTGTGGCGACTTGGTAGATACAATGTCAAATAGTAAGTTAAATATATTTTTTTTTTACAAAAAATGTTTTTTATATTATGAAATGAATACATATTTTGTCACCTATACCAGCACTCAGCAGTGTTATTTTTTTTTTGTATACATAAAATAAACAAAGTACTTTAGTAGGTTTTAACTAAATATAAAACCAGATTATAAATACTAAAAAACATCCAAAACAAAAACCAGTTAGACATAACTTATTTTTAAACACTTTTTTTATGCATATTTGTTTAGAATAATAGTAATATTAATTTTATTTCATTAAGTCAAAGGTAAAAAAAGGTTAGATAAATTCTGTTATAGAATAAAAATGTCTTCACTAAAAATGAAGACTAGGGTACAATTTTACAGGATTATGCTTTTGTGAAGAACTATCTGTTTAGAGCTTAATTTTTATCATAAGCGTATGCCATATATGAATTTTTAAAATCGACCCCTCACCTGTTTTTTGTCCTGAATCTATTCCTATATCTATTTATCCAATTCAAGAATTAAAACCTACATAAAAGTATTTTAATACATTTGATATAATTTATAAATATAATAATATTAAATTGTTAAATGTTTTATACATAATAATTATACTGATTCATTTTTATTATTATTATTTTTTTTTTTTTGAATTGATCCCAAGGATGTAATTCTTTGACTTTTACCTCTAAAAGCCATTTTTATAAGAATTTTGAAATTTTCTAAATCCTTCTTTAAAATAAAAACTTTTAATGAAATCTGGATTGACTCCTATAGTTTTCTGAAAAGAATGTAACAGTATGTGAAGTATATTTCTCAACATCATAATACCAGTAAATATGCTATAAATTTTTAATATTATACTTTAATGTAAACAAATCTATACATATATAGTTTTTCTTTATAATATATTTCTAATTTCTTGCATTCTTGAGGTTTTGGAATATTAATATACTAATTTAATGTAATACTCAATACTACTTATAAGAATTTTAAGTTAAATTGCTCAAGATTGATTTTGATTCTAAATACTCGACAAAAATATTATTATCTTCTTTAAATAATTAGTTTCGGGACTTATTGCACTTAATATCCACTAAAAAGTGCTTAAAAGAGGGGGACTTTTAATTCTTTCTACCGTAAGTTTAAATTTTGAATTTAAAAATATAGATAACTGTGTTGTAAGTGATTTACCAACAACTATTTACAAATAGTTTATTCAAATTACCAATATTTTAAAATCATAATTTTTTTGTACAAACCATCAGAATTTCTTTTCTTACTAGCTTTTGTCTTTCTTTTATTATCCTACCACAAATGGTATCATTTTGAAATCTGACGGGGATGGTACTTGAGGGGAGTCATTTTTTGATTTCCTCAGTTTTTTTCATAATAATAAATGGGAAAAAACGTACAACATTAAGGTGCATAGGTATGCAATTATTTTGCCATAATAATATGGCATTATTGTATCTATATTGTTGACAAAGCAACACTAATAATAAACATAAATATTAAAATAAATTTAAATCTTTTTAATTAAGTATAATAAAAATATTAAAAACATATTATTTTTTATTATAATACATACATCTACAAATAAAATTAAGCACGTATTTTATGTAAAAATGTTTTTTCTTGCTTTTTGTGTAGCAAATGTTTTTAAGGTTTTATCAAAGCTTGGATTTTGTAGAATATCATTTTTCTGTAGACAATATCATTAACGATATTATCTTGAGATTGCGAAGATCTATTTTTATTTTTAATTCTCGCCAACTTCGAAAATGCTCTCTCTGCGGTACAATTAGCAAAAATTAATAATACAATGTACAGTGTAGACAGCTGATAGTTGTAATCAGTAGGTATTTGAGTTCTGAGTACCTACGATGGTCACGTACTCACATAAACATTTTTTCCCAATAATTCTATTTTTAAACACAGCGGTAACAAAATATATTCCTATTCCCTATACACACAAACATGGCCATGGTCTTTACCTACTCAAAGATGAACCGTTTCTAACGAAAAACGATTCGGAACGAAGTTCAGTAGAAGCCATATTTTGAAATTCCGTAAATAATTTTCGCAAAAATTTGATCGTAAAACGCTTATGGAAAAAAAAAACTAATACATTAAATTTAAATTTGTTTTTCAGAACAGTAAATTAAAACTCATAATGTACTTTTAGTAAAAATGTTTAAAAGATTTTCGTAAGTTATATAGTGTTAATAACAAATACCTACCAAATAAAAATACTTCTAAAAACACTTCTACAAAAGGCCAATATAAATAGGTATTTTGTGAAAACTACAGATCTTTACAATCATTTTTAACCGAATAACAACAAAAAAAAACCGAGCGCCTTATTCACAAACTAGATAAAAATTTTCTTTCAGAAAATATGCTATTCTTGAAATGGGGACAAAGATTTCCGGTAGAAAAATAATGCTAGGAGCCATCAATAGTGTTAGGTAGACAATAAGTAACTAACCGTTTGTATAAAAAACATCTCACACATATCGATGGCAATTGTTTTAACGGTGAAAAAACAAAACGCACACATAACATTATAAAAAAGCAATAAATCACTCCCTACGTTCCGAATCTAAAATAGGTATATCGCATTTTGGACAGGCAATTATTTTTATTGGTAATGTATTTAAATCGTTAAAATGGCTAAACATATAAGTAGGCGCCTAGTTAATATTATATTAACCTCTATATATTCATATATATTGCGTATTGCATAGTTACGATTTACCTGCGATTAAATTAATGCGCAATATTATAAATTTGTGTTTACAGGTAATAGGTATGTTTATTATGAATTGTGTGTTACAATTACCGCGTGAATAATAGATGTTCAACAGTAATTGTCTGATTACGTAAACTCGCCGGCGATAAGAATTACGTACATTACACCTAGATGAGATGAAATCTGTTGTACCTATAACCTAATAAGTTTTTTTAAATTTTGATTGCTTAGAATAAAAATAATTAAACAAGAATATTGGTGGTTTTTTTGTGCGCATATTTGCATAGATAATGTTTCGTTTGTCATTTAGTTCGTTATTATTTATTAATAGATAAAATAAAATTCAAAATATTTTTTGTCCCGTAAATAGTGCGTGTTTTCGTCGTCCGTTTTGCTTATTTCAATAGGATATTTTATTTACTTAGTATAATTAGTTATTATTATGTTATTGAATTATTTTATTCCTATATTTTTACATTCTTGCAGGTACTTACCCGTAATCAGTAGGTATAAACTTATTGAGTTACATTAAATAGTTTGGCAATTACTTTATTGTTATGGGCAACAGTTCAGAAAACAAGTCCCGAGAAGACTTGTAATAATTTGAGTAGAAAATGTAATCGCCTATTATGTTCGTTTAAATAATCACTAAACATCAAGATAATTCGATCACAACTAATAAAACAGTGTTTCACAAAGACGCTTTCAATTTAACTCTCAAAACTCGTCTAATTTGGTGGTTTCTACCGCTCCGTCAAAGGCAGGATTTCTCCGGGATTACAAACCGTAATATTAATGAGCGCCTATGCTGTTTCGTGTTTGGGGCGTTGTTACGGGTGTGTTCACGGCAATGGCTATCCATATAATAAGTCGGCCAACGTCCTACTTATGGCGATGTTGTATTATTTATACACACTTGTATATAATTGATAATGAATGCACATCATACAGCTAGACAGCTACCGTATGTGCGCGAACTCATTGAACTCGTTATGAACAGTCTTCATAACTGGCAGCTTTACTGCAATTGTTATCATAGCTTTTGCGACGGAAGCCCGTAGTACACGTAACTCATTTTACAGCAGACTGGTAGCGCACGTCTTTATTTTGGTGCGGCGCCGGTAACGCAACATTTTTCATTGGAAAACAGCGCGTGACTTCAAGCACTACTTGTTGCCAAAATATTATTGTATATTTTTATTAAAACAAAACATAGAACTTAGAAAACTATAAAAAAAAAAAGTTACACAAAATAAGTAAAATTTTATTTTCATCTTATCGTGGGAACGTTACTTATAAATAAATTGTTGGCGCCTATTCATAAACGGGAAGTATAAAATATCAGAAAGTTCTTGTTTCAAGTCGATATAAGTAGCGCACGATTATAAAAAAAAAAAAAAAACTAGCGGTAGTTCTAAGGAATTCATATCTTTTTTATAGACATGAGACGATAGTGATTACGCTCTACATTAAAAGTACCTACCTACTGATTTCCATCCACTAGTGTTTACCATAAATGACGGCGTATGTTTAATAATATCGGGCGCTTAAAATACAATATTAAAGGTAGAAATCTAAGAAAAATATATCTCGGTGAAAATGTCCAGTAAAAATAGTCCCTGTGTAGTCCTCTAGTATGAAAAAAGTTCTAGAAAAAAGTCCTTAATACAATTTAGTTGTGCACATTACTTACATTAAATTTAGTATGTTTTCATATTTTATTTTCGAGTCTTTTTTTTATACTCTAGGNCGACACAGACCGCGCGGGCGCTACGCCGCCGTTCAAACGGGTTTGGCGTAGAGAACCATGAACCATTTGTGTGGATCGAACCACGAATCAGACACGGCGAACCCTGCCCGGTCCAGCAGCGCGAACATGCTGTCCGTCGTGTACTTGTAACTGTTCTCCGTGTGTATGCGCTCACCCGCTCTAAACCGCCGAGAACCGTCTGGTTGACTGCGCCATGTAACAGTCACGTCGCGTTTCGCCTCCAGATGCATTTCGACACGGCTCTTGTCCAAGTGGAAAAATCCCCGGTGTTCCCAGTCAGACACGTCGAAATCGGCGTCGATCAGCCGGTTGACGTTTAGCAACACGTTACGGTTAAACGCCGCGGTAATTCCCAACGAATCGCTGTACGCCTGGTCTATCACTATCTTGTCTTTTACCAGATCGATTCCCATCAGCAGGCCACCGTCGTCGGCCCGCAAATTGCGTCGCAACGTCCGTAGGAATTCGACTGCCGCTATCGGCGAGAAGTTTCCGAACGACGAGCCCGGATAAAAGAACAGCCGGCGGTCTTGCCCGACGGACGGCGGTAGTTGTAATGTGGACGAGAAGTCCATGGCCAGCGGCTGCACGTCAAGCGCCGGGAACGCCGTCTGTAGGACGACCAACGAGTTTTTCAGGAACTCCGTTGAAATGTCGACAGGCACATACTGGCGAGGCTTGAACAGCGGCAGCAGTCGCGCAGCCTTGGCACAGTTGCCGGCTCCCAGGTCGATGAAGGTAACGCCGGCGCCTACAGCCGTCGCCATGTCCTCGGCGTGCCGGTCGAAAATGGCCGCCTCGGTCCTGGTCAAATAGTATTCTGGCGTGTAGCAAATGAGCTCGAACAGTTTCGACCCGAGCGGGTCGTATAAGTATTTGGACGAAATTGTCGCGGAGTCGGCGCTCAACGACTCGCGGAGATCGTCTCCGGGATCGGCGGCAGTGCTGATTTCCCGCCGCCGGACTAGGATACTTGGCCGCGGCCGGTACGCAGCAGCGGTCGCGCGCCAGGAGAAACGCATTGTAATCATATTATCGGTCCGTCCGATTAGTCGATAGTGCAGACGACGTACCCGGTGACCGTATTCAGTATCACTAACAACGCGAGCACTAACTGTACATTCATACATGCACAACTGCAGAATATTTACTATCGAACTATTCGATAATTGACCGAATTCGAACCATTCGATTATGATAGAAATTATCCGATAGTTTTCCCGAATAAAACTGTTTGGCCGTGGGAATTATTCAAATGAAACACGTTGGCACGTATTCTAAACTATATATAGAAAACTATCGATAGTATTAACAGTGTCCGTCACTGGTGTAGCATATACGTTGTGCATGTCAGCATATTGCTGTGTGATAATATTATATAATAATGTACGCGATTTGGACGATTACGCGTTTAAAGAGGACTTAGGAGTTCAATCAGAGTGGCATTCGGCATCATAGTTATTGTCATATTCGAATTACTCTTAATTTGTATACTGAATTCGCTATCGAAGGTACTAGACAAATCGTGTTATATATATTTTTAATAAAAATTAATATTTAAAAAATTCTGGTAACATTGTCTTAATAACGTTATCGTTTAAAATATAATAGGTATTTTATTTTTAAAACCGATTTGATAGTTCTTTCGGTTTTTTTTTTACGTGAACACGTTTTTAACACACCCGTCAGACAGACAAAAATATTTTAGATTCTGAGCACAACGAGGAATGAATTGGTTCTTTTTCGTCCATTAAAAACTTTTCTACCAATAACTTTTCTTCGATCTACTAGGGAAGCATCTTTTCTGAATGTAAATTTTGTTTAGTTGATATAATAAGAATGTTATTGTTTTGATTTTTTTTTTAGTTTTCATAATAATTAAGGAAAAAGTAAGAAAAACAAGAAAATGTACGCCATAACTGTTATTGTTGTTTTTGATTTCGTTTGGTTTCATGTTAATAAAAATGTTTTGGCCCAGCAGATATGGTTGGAAATTAAAATTTATTTTTATTTTTTTTAGCTTTCTGCACATACGCATATAATAATATTATGTACAATAGATTATCAAATTCTTTTGATATCGTATAATATTATGGAATCATAATTTATTGTTTAATAAATCGATAAAATAATTGTACACATTCGCCTAACTTGTTTTTTTTTTTTATAAACATTTAAGTTCTAATTTCGATGAAAATTGTGAAATTCGTGGTATTTCAAACAACACGTTTAAACAAACTTCGCTTGACGCTCAGAACTTTTTTCCGTTACCAATAATCTATTGTTGCTTACAGATTGAATAACTCTTTGTATCTTGCCTTCCCAACTTCCCGCCTATAACAACAGTGGCCCATCCATTAGATGCAGTATCAGCTCTTTTTTTTTTTTTATTCTTTAAATATACCTATTACCTATTATATCATTCTATGAAAATTGAATATGCAGATTCCGCAAAATCGTTAAACATAAAAGTATAAAACAACAAATTGTTGTTTTTATTGTTCGATTATTTTTTAAGCAATTTTAAAAAGACCCGGTTGTCATATTATTAGAATTTGTAATAATTTCAAAGACACAACTTTTTGATTGCCTCTATGCCGACGAGAATTTATTTCCTCAACACCGTCTAATCGGTTATAAATTGATCATTTTTAATTGTAATTTCTTTAAATATATAATCGTATGGGTGCTTATATTCACATTTTAGATTTTTCTGGTTTTTCAGTGGTTTCCCTATAGTTACATTGCAAACAAAGAACTTGATAGAATTTATAGAACACGTAATATAGTGAGTTGGATGCGAACTCACGTCTCGTAGCGACGAAACACACTTTTAAATTATACATTTTTAAAATTTGATAGTTGTGGGTTTTAGAAAATATACTTCTCTGTTCGGTCAAATTTCCGGAACTACTGATTCATTTTCATGAATTTTTAGAAATACGTATAGTGGACAACAATTCACTTTTGAATACACAATAAATCTTCACAAGTACCTAACTTTTGTAGACAATGAAAACAGAAATGATTAAATACAAATGTGTAAATTAGGTTAAATAACTTTAGTTTAAATATAAAGCCACTGAAAAGAATTAAACAATAAAAATGCGACGAGCAAGTGCAAGAGTCGAAAGCGCGTGCGGTTTCAACGGTTACTGTTAATATACGCATAGTCGAATGAGTAAATGATCATTCACTAATAGTTACAATGTCCGTATGACCGCTGAGTTCGTATTTTCCGTTACCAGTCCACATTGGTCATCGATAACCTGGCCTATCTCGGCTACCGTCCATCATTGGCGTACTTGACTTATCAACATAATTATGATGTATTTTCAATTAAATCGACGACTGCACTAGGTACCTATATACGTATAGGAAATAAAATAATCTAACAAGAAGGGTACATAGCTATTGTTTAACCTATTTAAAAATATTCTAGATTATTTTTAATTAACATCGATAATACATTTATTTTTTTACCGTTGAAAAACAATTTATATTGCAATCGGTATGGTATTATACGAATACCGGTCTGTAGTCGGATAATACAAAAACAATAACAACAACTGATCACGATAAACCGAATCATTTATTTATTGTGATTTTCGGAATCGTTATTACAATAATTTATTTCTGTTGCATAATGTGAATGATTATACATTTTTACACCTGAAATATTGTCAAGGATTGTCCGAACAATTGTCTCGTACACCAATCATATTATTCGCACTGGTCGTACCTGTGCATACCAAATATTATTATATTATTATTGTTAGGGCGGGTAACTTAGTTGTTTTGTTGAAATCTAAGTGTGCGTAAACAATTATGATATCGAGATTCGACGAAAATTCCGTATTTTTACGCGAATATCATAATTTGATCACACGCCAAGACGGACGTGCGGTCGATGCTGGGTTAGTAGTTATTTCTGAAAATGTACAATTCGACTTACAGCTACTCAAATTAATTTCTGTTTTAAATTTAACTTAAACTTAGCTTAGTTTTATTTTTTTTTCTGAGGATATCTTACTTGGGCTGGTCGAAAAAAAAAACTGGTTAAGTTGCCGAGGTTTGCATAAACGTGATAATACGTATGTACCTAGAGGAATTACGGATTTCGCATAGATCGCAGACTGTAATAGATATTTATCGTACTTACACAATGCACATGTTGATATTTAATAATTATCGTTTACTAAATGATTATAACGGCCGATATATCCGCTGTTTATTAAAATCCAAGACAAGCCGTTTTCGCCGAGACGGAACCGCGGCGACACAGACCGCGCGGGCGCTACGCCGCCGTTCAAACGGGTTTGGCGTAGAGAACCATGAACCATTTGTGTGGATCGAACCACGAATCAGACACGGCGAACCCTGCCCGGTCCAGCAGCGCGAACATGCTGTCCGTCGTGTACTTGTAACTGTTCTCCGTGTGTATGCGCTCACCCGCTCTAAACCGCCGAGAACCGTCTGGTTGACTGCGCCATGTAACAGTCACGTCGCGTTTCGCCTCCAGATGCATTTCGACACGGCTCTTGTCCAAGTGGAAAAATCCCCGGTGTTCCCAGTCAGACACGTCGAAATCGGCGTCGATCAGCCGGTTGACGTTTAGCAACACGTTACGGTTAAACGCCGCGGTAATTCCCAACGAATCGCTGTACGCCTGGTCTATCACTATCTTGTCTTTTACCAGATCGATTCCCATCAGCAGGCCACCGTCGTCGGCCCGCAAATTGCGCCGCAACGTCCGTAGGAATTCGACGGCCGCTATCGGCGAGAAGTTTCCGAACGACGAGCCCGGATAAAAGAACAGCCGGCGGTCTTGCCCGACGGACGGCGGTAGTTGTAATGTGGACGAGAAGTCCATGGCCAGCGGCTGCACGTCAAGCGCCGGGAACGCCGTNCTTAGGAGTTCAATCAGAGTGGCATTCGGCATCATAGTTATTGTCATATTCGAATTACTCTTAATTTGTATACTGAATTCGCTATCGAAGGTACTAGACAAATCGTGTTATATATATTTTTAATAAAAATTAATATTTAAAAAATTCTGGTAACATTGTCTTAATAACGTTATCGTTTAAAATATAATAGGTATTTTATTTTTAAAACCGATTTGATAGTTCTTTCGGTTTTTTTTTTACGTGAACACGTTTTTAACACACCCGTCAGACAGACAAAAATATTTTAGATTCTGAGCACAACGAGGAATGAATTGGTTCTTTTTCGTCCATTAAAAACTTTTCTACCAATAACTTTTCTTCGATCTACTAGGGAAGCATCTTTTCTGAATGTAAATTTTGTTTAGTTGATATAATAAGAATATTACTTTTTTGATTCGAGCGCCGGGAACGCGGATCGCAGGTTACCCACCCCTTCTTCCAGGAACTCCGTCGAAATGTCGATGGGCACGTATTGGTGGGGTCTAATATACGGGATCAGCCGCGCGGCCTTGGCGCAGTTTCCCGCTCCGTGCTCAATCAGAGTGGTATCGGTGCCGGCCGCCTCTTCGGAATGCCGGTCGAAAATTGCCGCCTCGGTCCTCGTCAGGTAATTTTCTGGAGTGTAACAAATGGCGTCGAACAGTTTGGATCCGAGGAGGTCATATATGTATTTGTTCGGGATAGACGGCGTATCGGCGCACAACGATTCCCGAAACACGGCACCGTCCGCCTTGGAGCTCATTTTCCGCCGCTTCACCAGTTGCGGCAACGCCCTGTATACGGTGGTCACCCGCAATACGAATCGCAACGGTAGGTATTTATAATTCCGTTCTTTCGGGCTTGTCGAAAATACAGGCGACTTGTCCGATGCCCGAGCCAAAAATCACTGCCTATATGTGCACACATAATACAGCTATATTATTATGACGTAATTGTATTAAGTATAATTTGGGACGTGGACTTACAGCTACGCGTAGGTGCGATGCATTGCCGAGCGGTTAGTTTATGGAGATGGTAGGTGTACGATAATCGAATGATAATTTGTGAGTTTATTTATTTTATTGTTTCATTATCATTAACCTCGGGTGCGATTAGAAAATATAGGTTATTCGCCGGAAAACTGAAAAAAAGTTAACAAGTTCAGAACACTCGTTAAGCTATAGGTTTAAACAATCCTGTTCTATAAATCAGTTGCTTTCAAAAGTTTTATCTAAAACACTGTTCGATGTTGTTTGTTGTTTAAAATCAGCTTTTTAAATAGGATTTTTAAATACATCAACTCTGGTACGAAAAGTATTAATTTATTGTGAGAAAATTGATGTCGTATCCTATGATGTTCGCTAGAGCTATAATGAATGTAAATGGCTGCGTGATGACCTATGCCCTACTATTATATTAGGCTGCTGTGAAAATAGGCGGCGAATGTTTGAATCAAAAATGATCAGCTTTTTCCGCATATTTCCCATGAGCTAATGTGGTATTACGCGTTGTATTGCTAAGATGTAAATCTTGATTCTAGGCGTTTTTCCAACTGGTAATAGTCCATGGTGTTACCTGCATCCCTACTGTTGTAGCACGCGCGGGTATAATATATTAATTATTAGCGCTCACGCCAAATGGCTCTGCAGTACCAAAGGTTTTTGATAAGAACATTTTCCGATAAAATATTTCTCCTTGTCGCACAACCATTTATAAGTCTATAACCGCGATCTGCCCAAAGTGATAACGATAAGTCGCATAAGATAAAACCAGTTTATCATTGATAAACGAAATTTGTTGACAAATCAACAAAAACGTTTTTATAAAAACGTTGGGAAATTTGAATTTTTGATTTATCATGTTTCTCACACAAACCATTTAATTATATAAGTAAATTATACTGAAAACATATTAATGGCCTTATCTAAACATCGGCGTTGCAGCTGTAACTCTCGAAATTATGTTTATTAATTAGCTATACTAGTTACTACTATAGTGGGTCCCCATGATCATTTTTTTTTTTAGCGACAAATAACGGGGATTAAAGAATTGTGAGTTACCTATATTGTTATTTCATAAATAGTCATTGTCACTCATTATCATGTTTTGTTTTACAGCGGTAAGCATATTACCGTTCGTACATAGCATAGGCACATGGCATTGGCTAATTTAAAACGGGCGATTTGCCGCCTTTTCAATAATGATAACAACATTTATCTGCGAAATAACTGATACTCAGTGACAACTTATATTGAAAAAAAAAATACTATAACTGAAACTACTTCATTGAAACATAAGAAACGAAACGATTACGCTTATTAGAATTTGTTTAAAACCACAAGAACAAAACAGTTATCGCAATATCGATTATAGGGTGGCCGTGCTATCCGTACGGCCATGGCGGCGATAACGACGACTATCGGACCGGGAACCTTGCCTAATCTAATTAGCCTAGCCGTCTTAGCCACTAGGATTGTTGACGACCGGTACCGTTTTACGAGTGTATATAAGTTAGATTTTTGTTTCGATTAATACGCAAAAACGTACGCGTACCGGCGAAAATGACGTCGGACGTACGTACGCGGACGCTAGTGATAAGGCGTAGATAGGTACTCGACGTTATCTTAACGACGCGCCGCAGTGATAGGAACGGTTCGGGAGTGGAAACAGGGAGTCGACGGTGAAACACGTTATTATGTTTATAAATTGTTTTCCGTTAAACGAATAACTACGACTTCAGCGTTAACTGCGTTCAATGTGAAATTCGATTTGAAAATAATATTTTATTCAATATTGAAAAAAATATATAAATTATAAATATCGAGTAAATGATTGGTTTTAAACATAAAATAAACCGGTATAATATTATTGTGTTTTATCTGATAACATTCAATATTTATTAATAACTACAAAATATTTAATCAATATTTTGTTAACTTTTAAAACGTTTAAATATTTTAAACCCGACCAAAATTAAATATTTATACAATCAGTTTGTTTGGAAAACACTGTGTGGTATTCTCTCGGTGGACGGAGTGTTGATTGCTCATTAATTTATGGCGTCCGTTTACGGCTGCAGGGACTTTGCGAGCCGGATTCCGGTGTACTGCCAGCGTGCCGTGGCCGGAAAGAAATTTCGATAACTGAGCCTGGCGTGTTCCTCCGGAGTGGCGATTGACGAACCGCGCAGTACGTACTGATTCACCATGAACTTACCGTTGTACTCGCCGACCGCCCCAGCCGGGATCACGTATCCCGGGTATTGTGTGTAACTGCTAGACGTCCACTGCCAGGCCGTGCCGAAAAACTGCTGGCCGTCCGGATGGTCGGAGCCAGCCGCACGTTCCCATTCCGCCTCGGTCGGCAGCCTGGCACCCGACCACCGGGCGAACGCGTCCGCTTCGTAGTATGACAGGTGCGTGACGGCCTTGTTCGGGTCCAGCGGCACAGGTCCGTTCAGCGTGAACTCGTACCATCCGGCCGCGGTCGCATCGGATCCTGCATCACGATTCCGACGCCAGTATAGCGGACCGGCCGTTCGTCGGCAGGCTTGCAGACGCCATTCCCAGCCGGCCGCCAGCCACTGGTCGGGATCGTCGTAGCCGCCTTTGTTCACGAAAGCTAGGTACTCGGCGTTGGTGACCAAGCGGGCACCGCACGCGAACCGTTCAACAAACTGCCGATGCCGGGGCAGTTCGTTGTCGAAGCAAAACCCCGGTCCCCGGTGACCGATTTCCACCACGGCCTCGTCAAACACCAGCCACTCATTGTCCGTTTCGACAGGTGCTGGCGGCGATGGTAACCAGCCCGGGGGATACGCCACCGGTTCGACGACGCCGTTCATCGACATCAGGTGCTTGACGTCCGTCAGCAAGAGTTCTTGGTGCTGTTGTTCGTGGTGCATGCCAAGCTCAACGAGAGCCGCGCACCGCGGGTCGCAGTCTGCCGAAGACAATAGGTCCCGGACGCGCCTATCAACGTTTGCCCGGTACAACCGGATTTCGGACAACGGCGGCCGTGTTAACAGGCCACGCTCTGCGCGCGGGTACAATTCACCGCCGACACCGTTGTAGTACGAGTTGAATAACGTCCGAAACACCGGACAGAACGGCACGAACCGCGGTTCGTACGGTTCCAGCATGAACGTTTCGAAAAACCAACTGGTGTGCGCCAAATGCCATTTGACAGGACTGGCGTCGCACATCGACTGCGCGCAACAATCCTCTTCGGACAACGGCGCGGCCAACCGCATCGTGTAGTCCCGTACCCGCACAAAGTCTTTGACCAGGTCCGGCACGGTCGGCACCGTAGTTGCAGCCATGGCGTGACACCGGAACGTCGCGTTCTCAGACAGTCCTAAACGATCCATCGGACTGTAACGTTGGACCTTTGGTAATCTTCGTCGCGTGCCAACAAATCCTTATAATTTGTTGTATGGCGTGTTATATTTTATATCCTGTGTATCTGTGCGCGATATCACAGTGGTCAGTTTTGACACGCAAAGCCGATGTGACTGTGTGTAGGTATCCAATACGACCGTATTTATATTAAAACAAACCATCATGGTAAGGTTACCGTCTGTTAACTGGCGTTAAATGTTGATGTTGAACATTCAGTTTATTTATTACATAACAAGTAACAAGGCTATTCGTTTTTAAATTAGCCGTTAGACAATTTCAATGTATGGAAATTAGCCGCGAAAATAACATATTTTCAATAGAATAGTACGTTACGCGATAAGGATTAACAACCAGTACGGTAATTTCCTTATCGTCTATTTAAAAGTGATTAGTTGTTCATAAGCTTTTTTTTTTTCAGTGATTAATGGATGAAAATAAAAATTGTACTTTTCTCTCCATATGTGCCCTCCTTTCGTAAAACCCGATTGAAAAAAAAAAAAATGTATAGGTATTGGATATTGAGTTATTAGCCCACGGATAACACTGTAGTGTCCTATACACCCTGTGTATGCTCGTGTTTGTGCTAATAAGTAATAATCAAAGTTACCTATGATCCATATTCATCTGAAAAAAATTATTATGATTTTTAATTAAATAGAAAATAATAATGAAAATCACGAATCGATGGAGTGCAAAGACTATAGGTACGTCTAATGTTTCTTGATACACGATAAAAAATTATTTTAGATAATATAATTCCGTGGTCGTGATCTACAGCTTAGTATGTAATATCATATTGATATCACTGAGAATCTAAAATTATAATTATATTACATAAATATAAAATATCACTTAGCCAATTATTATAATGAACACTCTATAGGTACATGTTCTATAAAAAAAAAAAAAAAATACATTATAGTAAAGCTAATAAATCCCTCGCTTAACTTCGAATATAAAATAGAGCGACATAGGCAATAAGGGGTGGGAGGACTTGGGGAAGCTATTAGCCCTGCAAATATTATATTAGCCTCGCCCTCGACTCTTTTCACAAAAAACATTTTCGTGTTTAGTGTAGTAATTTATTTTGAAGTAGGCCGAACAATTGACATTATACTAGACAAAAATATTATAATACTTGTAAATAAATACATATATGCCTACGTCTTCCAAATTTAATTAATAAAAAAAATATTTGTCTGTAACTAAATTTGTTATTTGCTTACAACATTGTATAATATATTCGTATACAAAAAAATATAAAATGGAAATTATTGAAGATTAGGGGAGCAGCCCCCTACGTTTTACATATGTAAAAAAAAAATATTAGATCCATTGAAATTTGAATTATGATGTGGTTTTTTTATACGCGTTTTAAGCTCAAATTTCGACAAAAATCGTAAATTGTACATCGCTGTTGCCGTACAAAACAATAAATACGACCAATCTCCATAACCCGCTTACTTAGTATATTTTACAATTATTTTATTCGGTTACCTATACATTTAAGAAATGGTCACTATTATATAGAATTTTATATCAACGAAAAAAAAACAACATATTACCATAGCAAATGTTATACACAAAAGATTGATTATCATAATAATTGAGGACCGTATTGAGTGTCGTTAAAAAAAAACCGGCTTTGTTCGTACCTACATATTGATCAAAGCCTGTCAAGTGACAAGTGTCACATATTTTTTATTTTTTTATTTTTTTTTTTTTAAGCCATTGACTGCAATAACTTAAAAGGACTTTTTTTTTTTTAACATTAAATCATTGTTTGAAATTTTAAATACTTCGTTCACCTGAAAATGTATAATATATTAAATATTTGATCTAAAATCGTATATTGATCCTATTAAAAATCAAACAAATTAAACATTTGTTTAGTTTACATTTTTATTATTTTTTTGACAACGGTACAAATTTTATTTATCATATAATTTATACACGATTCTTAAAGAGTAAAATATATATATATATATATATATATATATTTATCATCCTAATTACAAAATTATTATATTAAAAAGCACATTTTTTTTTTTTTTTTATTCGTGATTTATTACAGTACTTTGAAATATAATAATTTTTGAGTATTACAATGTATTTGTATTTGTTTTATTTAACAGTTAATTATATTTATCATATTACTATTGTGTATATATATATATATATATATATATAGATACATATGTATATTATATTTATATATACATACACACACAATTATTAAATCATATAACTCGGAATGCGTCAAACGACATGTGGTACTTCTATCACTTCTATTCAGGCAAATTTTAAGTGTCTAATGATTATCATCTGGTCGGTTATACCGAAAATATCAATGTTATCATAATAATACGGTATAGTAATAAAAAAAAAAAAAAAAAAATCAAATCAAAAATCAACAATATTTGTCTGGTTAGTCGCGTTATAATAATAATGTTCATGTAAGTCATTACTGGGCAGTATCATAACATATATGTAAATATACAAGTATATAGTAACATATTATTTTACATTTCGGACTAGATCTCAGAATGTATGTAAACATTGTTAAAATAATAATTGTTCGCGGCGATTTTTCAGGATTCAGGACATTTTTAAGATAATGATAAAAGTTTTTTTTTTTTTTTTTTTTTTAAATTTGTATTTCATTATTAAGAACGACCATTATTATAGTATACACATTGCAGCCCTTTTTTCTTACTTATTAAAATCGCATTTTACACGAGTTGAATGATACAAAAAAAAAAGAAAAAAAAAGTCGTTTTGTCTTTTAAAAAAAATCTCTCGCAATACAAGTGCTTGTCGACCCATTGTTTTTTTGTTATTTTCTTTTTTTTTTTTTGGTCCCTGCTTCTAGGAACATTTTATATACAGGTCTAAAACATATAACATTTAGGTAGGTATCCGTTTTAGCTTAACCCCCCCCCCCCAAACGTTCACCTTTATTATACATGAGATCATTCCATCGATTGTGTATTAATTATTCCTATACAAAACGCGTCGGTAACGAGGTTAAAAGAGTCTGTGACCGAATAATAAACAAAACCACTACTATGGAAAACTTCAACCGAAAATACATAATCTTATTCTCTATAATAACAGGTACTTACAAATAGTGACAAGTGGTAAATTTTGATTAAAAACTAAAAATATGTTTTATTAAAATGTTTAGAATCTAATTCTTAGTAAAAATTGACATTTATTGATTTTTAAACATAATTCCATCAGACAGACAAAGTTTTGAGTTTTAATACAATTAATATATAAAATATTGTTTGAATATATATATATATTATATAAATATCAGTAATCATTTTGCATTAGGATGGTGTAGTATTTTGTAATTCTGGAATCCCTACAGAGTTTTTCATTCAATGTTTTCTCCCACATGAATTTAGTACAACGAATAGAAAATTATTAAATTCACAAAAACGATTTACCTACACGACTAATATTATTGTAATACGAATATATAAATTGGCGAATAGCCGTCGAATTTTCACGTTCGAAGACCATCTTTCAGGTGAAGTTTGGTAACGAAATTCAGCGTTAAAAATATTAAGGTAATACAAACATTAAATCTATACATGATACAATCCATACACGAATTGTTACGTTTCCTCCCCTGTACGTTTCGCGACTATTTCGACGTAATGTATTCGCGGAAACAACCCGCGAACATTAATTCGCATGTACACGCTCGGCCGACTTCGGGGGTTGAATTCGAATGACTATACACGAACAATATTGAATTACAATCGACGAAAAATACAGAGGTGAATTGTTGAGGACAATTAATAATATCATGTTCTTGTCCCCCCCCCCC